CAAAATCAAGTGAAGGGTATATGGTATTCACTAAAATAATCTACTTTCATGTTTGAAATTTTTCATAAAAATGAGCACATACCAGATCAGGAAGGTTCATGGAAAGAGATCAAAATCTGTTTTAAATGAGAATATTAAAATAAAGAGGTGAAAAAAGAGCAAGAAATACTAAGAAAAGGATGGTGACAGAAAGAAATCTAACTATGGGAGGTGAACACACAGTGTAAATATATATATGCCTTATTGTTAAAGTGTACAGCTGAAACTTACTGGATTTCATTAACCAATGTCACCATAAAAATGAAAGGAGGGGAGGGGAGGGCAGGGGAGGGCAGGGGAGGGGAGAGGAGAGGGAGGGAAGCATAGAGATAGAGAGATAGAGATGGAGATGGAAGGGAGGGATGAAAGGGAGAGAGAGAAGGAGGAAGGGAGGGATGGAAGGGAGGGAGGGAGAGGGGGAGGGAGGAAGGAATTCTGAGAATATTCCAACATGCAACCATGATGAATCATCTCAATCAAAAATACTGTCATGGTAACTGTGTTCATTGTACCAGTCAGCATGCAAGCAGCACGCTGCCTAAGTTATAACACTGTTAAATGTCGAGATGCTGCTCAGTGGTCTCTGAAGCCCCTTCAGCATAGTACATAGACTTTTACCCTGTCCAGGGTCCTAAACCATTCACCAAACTCTTGTCTAGAAATGAGGCAATCTCAGGTCCCAACGGTATAACCTATCTGTAAACCAGGTAAAAACACTTTGAGAGTGGAGAAGAAATTAAATACACATGTGAAGTTTAAACACACATAAAGAACTTGGCTACAAAAGCATCCTCATTTGGGGACTGTAATCAACAATACTTGCCCAAATATGCAAGAATAAATACCCATAGATGCTCAAGGCAGCACCCCTACCCCAATTACAAACGAGAAACAAGCAATGTTCATCGGCCCTCCATTCTTAACTTACCATATCCACAGCACAGTCCCTAGCATTAATAGTAGACACTATACCATTCAATAAGTATTTAAATGGAAAGACAGCCACAATATTCTGTCAGTTAAAAAAAGCACTGGCAAAACAACATGCTTCCATCTGTATAACAAACTATAATTTATTTGCAAAATCTAAAGTCTAGAAGGACACCCAAATTATAAATTGACCATCTCTGTGGAGTAAATGGCTGGGGGAGAGAGAAATGTTTTCTTGACTTCATACCTCTCCATATTGGTCCCTCCCTCCCCAAAGGAGTATAAACTGGTACAATCTTTTTTGGAGGGTGATTTGGCAAAACATGTCAAAATTTAAATGTGCTTGCCTATGACCTATCAATTTATTTCTAGGATTTGTCCTGCACAAACACTAGCTAAAGTGCACAAAAATATTGTATGTACAAGAATATTTACTGAAATAGTTTTGTTGGAAAAACAAAAATGTAAGTCTCAACATTTAACAAAAAAGGGGACAACAGTCATGCATTATATAATAACAGTTTAGTCAAAGACCACATCAAAACAGTGGTCCCACGAGATTATAGTAGAGCTGAAAAATTCCTATCGTCTAATGACATCCTAGTGCAACACGTTACACGGTTATGGTGATGCTGGTGTAAACAAACCTACTACATTGCCAATTGTATAAAAAAATAGCATATACAATTATGTACAGTACACACTTCTTGATGATAATAACTGACTTACAGGTTTATGTATTTACTATACCTTTCATCGTTATTTTAGAGTGTACTCTACTTACATAAAAAAGTTTGCTGTAAAACAGTATACTGTGGGGGGTGGCTCCATAATGTAATGGTTAGCATGCCTGCTGTACACACAGAAGGTCCTGGGTTCACACCCCAGGTGGAGCCACATACCATACCCCAGGTGCGCCAGGCCCTGGAGGGCACTGTACCCCAGGTCCAAGGTGCACACCGCGAGCGAGTGAGAGGAGACACCCTGCCTTCAGAGATCCAGTTCTTAACGGGAAAAGGCAACGTCCATAGGTCAGGGGTGGAAGTGGGGCGGGGAGGGGATTAAAAGGAGGAGGGAGAACGGTATGCTGTGTTACACCGGTGGCAGCCTCATACATTTTGTGCTTACTGTGTCTCTTTAGTGCATCATTTTCTCTCGTGCTTGATTTAATCTTGTGTTGTTTTGTACAGTAAAACATTGTATAGACTTATAGACTAAGAGTGATAGACTATACCATTTAACCTAGGTGTACCATTTAGGTTTGTGTAAGAGCCCTCTTTGACATTCAAACAACAATGTAATCACTTGACGACATACTTCTCAGAAAGTATCCCCATCATTAAGTGATGCATGACTGTAGTTCAATAACTTATGATGTTTATACAATGAATAATATTCTCCCTATAAAAGTATAGACATATTTCTACACTGACCATGAATAGTGAATAGATTTACTAGGTTAAATTATAGGACAGCATGTATAGTTTGATCCTCCTATTGTTACAAAATACATATTTGTGCATAGAGAAGTCTGTTGAGAGTGGAGAGGGGAGAGAATGAAGGATTTTCACTTTTTTTAAACCCTTATGATTTGTACAATTTAAAAAAAAAATGCATATAAAACTTTAAACTTTCAAAGAACTTGTTCTTTGCTATTTTAAGCATCCTCCTACATGCAGCCTATACTCCACACAAACCAATTACAGAGCAAGTACTTATTTGTATTTTCCTCTTGTATCCTTTTGCCTACTATATCCTCACCCCAAATCTTTCATTCCCAACCTTTGGGAGCAAAGAGTGAAAATAAAAAGCTTTGGTTGCCGGGTACCCATCACTGGGTATGCTTTAGTAAAGTCTCTTGTTCTTTCAGGATAAACTGTTTTCCTCAACACTTGCCTAGCTAATAAAAGCATAAGTCAAACACAGACTGCACTAAAACATCACCTATCAAGGTTAATTAGTAACTACAAGGCAAGCGAGAGAACTAAACATGAATTTAAAATTCCATCTTTACGTTCATTATAGTGTTCTCTCTTATTACAAAACACAGGAAATATCTCATGTTGTCTCTCAACAGAGAACCAATTAAAAAGTTATGATACATTCTCCTATAACATATTTGAGTCATTAAAAATGTTTTATAGCTACTGACATACTACTTATGCTTATATAATCCCATACTTGTGCAAAAAGATTTTCTATATTTGTGAATACGTATTTTCTGCATAGATGCATGAAAGCATGGGAAAGGATATAAATCCAAATGTGAGCAGTGATTACTTGGGTACTGAGGGTAACTTAATTAAACATTTTTTTTTTCTCATTTTTCCTCTATAGTGATCATATATTGCTTGTATCATTAAAAAACAATTACAAAGAGAACAGAAGTTTCAGTCTTCAAAAGAAAAATGAAACAATTGGAAAGACCTCCCCAGCTTTTGATATGATAGAAAGCAATAAGTGCCTGAAAGAAGCCAAGTTAAATGCTCAACTGCCATCAACCTGCCAGGTCTCTGTGGGCAAGTCCTCCCCTCACTTCACTCTTCATTTGCTATTTACCGAGGCCCTTTAAGTAGAGACTGTGCAGGACCATGGCAATGGAGATGACCGAGGGTGCCTTGGCCTCCAAGAGTTGAAGATTCAGTGGGGAGACAGGTTAAACATATTTATGCAAATGATTATCAATTAATGTTGTGATAAGAAAGAAAGCAGAGCCTGATGGGAGTGTTTTTCTAAACCAATTCATTGGGTCACAACTGTAAAATGAGAAGTTTGTACTCTAGGCTGAGTTCCCTCCCATGAGGCAGTTTTTGGGGAAAGGCTTTTGGGAAGAAAATAAAAGCTGTTTGTTACCTGTCCTGTAACAAACTGAGGAGATGCATAGGGATCATCTCAAGCTAAAAGGGGATAAGCAAAGGCATGGGCTGAAGGGCAGAAAATCTTTGGTGATGTTATATTTCTTACTAAAAATCAATTTAGATTCAAAGTGGGGGGAAAGCTCCATCTACCTGTTTCTTAACTAACCCTTTAGAAAAGTTACGCTACAAAGGAATAAAAGTGTGCGGAGGAAAGAAAAATACCCAAAGTGCAATATTAAATAGTTCTGGTTAACAAGTAACTTAACTTTTTTGTTGTTGTTAAATTAGGTTCACTT